TTACACCGATAGACCAACAGTGTCTATATAAAAAGATGTCACCAAGCAACTGACACATGCATGAGCCAGCGTAGAAGGATTATCCCAAAGAACAGGGAACAAGAGGTGAGTGGGCATGGAGGCAGCCGCCCGCGTCTGGCCAACCTTAGGCGGGCCGTAACAATACCCACTGCACGGGAAAGGGGTGCAACCCGTGCCCTTGCGGTGACCACCATCACAATCACATCATGCACTGAAGGAAAAAGTGTACATAATAGTTGTACACAACACATAGACAAGACAGAATGTACATCACGAATGTCCATGTAAGGGGTGTACAGCAVAAATGWACAWGGYSVCAATACCAAGCTTACCAAAAAAGGACAAACAACCATGCAGAACTTTTGTAACAACATCTGTCATAAGAAACAATGGAGGAGCTGAGTTCACCATGAAACCAGCCAAATAGGCATACAGCTCCTGCGAAGGAGGCAGGAGAGTCGTTAAGGAAGGGGGTGAGAACAACATAAAAAGAAAGACGTAGGAGATAAGAGAAAGAATAGATGATATATATATATATATATATGTGACGATATATATATATATATATATATTTGTTTTTTTGCCCACCTGGCGCATCTTCCACAACGCGCGCACTCTGCAATGCGCACTGTGTACAGCGCACAGCGCAGTGCGCCCCACCCCGCCCCGCGCTGCGCACTGGTGCGCCGCAAGTATGATATATATTGTCACAGAACTATTGACTAAGAGCATGAGCATGTGAAGTAGAAGAAGAAACAAGATGAGCAAAGAAAAGAAAAATGAAAGGAAAGACAGGCAAAGAGACAGACAAACCAGAATGACACTTTGTTTCACAGTATTATTATTTCTTTCAGTCTTTTACAAAAATTATTTACAGGGTCACCAGCCCGTAGGTACGGAAGTCCCCAGGCTGACCTCCGTATGTACGGGCGTTCGGGGTCCCGTTCGGGGTCCGAACCCGACGGCGTTCGGCCCCCGCCAAAAATTATTTGGGGGCCAAAGATGGCGGTGTCAAAACGTGCTCGCCCACTCACTATTTTGTTTCTTTTCACTTTTTACTTTTTGTTTTCATTTTATTGCGCGGCCTAAAAAAAATTATAATTTTTTGAAAGTTTTTTAATGAGTTTTGTATCATGTGAAGTACACATCTGTATATTTTCAGAGAATTTGGCTGCGCCAAAACAAAAAGAAAAATCGTCGAAGTTGGCGGTGTCGAAAACATGCTCGTTCACTAACTAATTTTAATATTTTAATTCTCTTTTCATTTTTTCTTATTTTTATTATTAATTTTATATTCTTATTAGGTCACCACAGCTGGAGCATAGACAAGGTACTCTTCGTCATTCGGGGAAGCTTCAAAGGGGCTGTGTTTACTTCTATGAGGACCCCATGGATGCAGAACTGCAACAACTGAGGTGGGTTCTGGACTGGGTGGTTGTGCATCGCAGTGTAGGTTAGTGGATTGCGTTACGATTTTACAGTCAGAGGTATGTACCACCTCTGGCCTCACTATTAGGTCTTAGTGTGTACTAGGAAGTTATCTATCCTAGGGGCATCCTAGCAAAAGCCTCCTTGGACAAGAATGCCTCAAGGTGCTCAGGGCTAGGTTTAACTCACACATCTGCCCACTTTTGCCTTTGTTTTGGGCCTTTTGCCCTACATTGTGTTGCCTGTTTATTTTATGCTCATAATTTTGGAGTGCAATAGTTTACTTTGGCTTGCCCTGTTTAAACCTAGGGTACCAGCCGGGCCGCCCGGGTGACCTTGTTTGCCCGGGCTGCCCAGCCATGCAAGGGGCACAGTAGGTCCAAGCAAGAAAAAAAAAGGAAAAAAGAAATCGAAAGAAACTGGAAAGAATTCTATGTTTTAGCAAAAAAATAAAGTGAACAAATTTTGCCTCAGGGTCACATCGAAATTCTTTAGAATCTTTACCAAATAAAAAATAAAAAATTAATTTAATATCTGTGTACGGATCCGGGCCGCCCGGCCGACCAGCGCCTGCCCGCGGGAGGTCCCAGGCGGCCCGGTTGGGGGCCGGGCCCGCCCAGCACACCTTGTTGGCGGGGGGTTTCCGACCCCGAATCGGCGAGATTTCGCCCAAGGCCTACCGGGTCCGACCACGCCGAGAAAACGGCGCGTCGGGCCCATGAGGCCTGTTTTTTTTTTTTTGAATTTGGGACGGCCCTCTGGCTGTCGATCATCCATGATCGACGGCTAGAGGGCCGTTTGTTTTTGGAGGGAAAAAGGAGACCCCGTTTGAACAAGCGACTGGCTGGGGCGGCCTGCATTGGCTGTCCAAACGAGGCCTCAATACCTGCTCCAGCCGCCTGCGTTAGTCGTCGAGTCGCCCGTCGTTGAAGTAGTTGCCCCTTGTCGCCATCGCCTGGGAGCTTCACTCGCGCCCGTCGTCATCGAGTCGCCCGTTGCGCGTCGCCAGCGTCGTCGATCGCGGTGCTCTTGCCTGCCGACAACCCCTGCCGCCCGTCGACGTGGAGTGTCGGTCTGTGCTTCTTCTTCTTCTTCTTCTTCTTCTTCTTCTTCTTCTTCCCTCCTCCTCCTCCGCTCATTCTTCTGCTTCTTCTTCTCTCCTCCTCCTCCTCCCCCTCTCATCTTCTTCTTCTTCTTCTTCTTCTTCCTCTT